GCTCGAAAGTACGAATGCTGTAATTCGCGTGAATATTTTGCGAACGTCAAAGCGAATTATAGAATCCGTTAGTGCAACTTTGTCAGTTTGTGTCTGCCGACTGACGAAAATTGCGAAACGAAGTTATATAGTCCCTGTTTTTCTTCAGGAACGTTTAATGTACGCTGTGTATACAGGAATGCATCGTTTTATTGCGCTTTTCAGATATTGCGTTTTTTTACGAATTTAAGGTTTGTGGCAACCCTGAGTCGAGCAAGTCTATCGGCGCCATTTTTCCAAAAGCATGTGCTCACTTCGTGTCTCTGTGTCACATTTTGGTAATTCTCGCATTTTTTTCTCGACATAATGCTAATGTACACTTAATAGACTACAGTATAGTATAAAAATAACTTTTATATGCACTGGGAAACCAAAAAAATCGTGTGACTCACTTTATTGCGGTGGTCTGGAACCGAACTCGCAATATCTCCGAGGTATGCCTGTATTTTTCATTACTTGAAATATGCACTTTAACTAATTATTATTGGTCTCTACCTTACGTATGTCTGAGGGTAATTCTTTTACAAATTAATTAAAGATTTTGATGTAACTTAAAGTCACTGGCCATGTTAACATTAAGTTACGGGCATAATTATCAGCGTGGAGACTGTCCTGCTCATTAACACCCGCTAGGACAGCTGGGTTGTTGCCAGGAACCAGGCTCTGTAGTCTAACCTACAGGCCTCGCTTTGATGTGTTGGCACATGTGAACCGTTTCATTTCGAGGCAATCATTTGGAACGATAGTAGCTGTCTGAAAGCGATGACATTTGACCTGTCGGGCTGTGGTCAATTTCCTTGTGATAATACCAAGTTAATTATTACATGTGTTCGTGACAAAGGAGAGGCTACGCTTAGCTCGCACGTCATGCTTGTTGTCTGTGTCAACTCCAGCTTCAGTGCTTAAGGGAAATTTTATCAGCGTTAGATTTATCTGTGAATCAATACCGCAATTATGATCAATAGCCTTAATGAAATTATATAGAAATTTCTGTGAACAGCGACAACGTTTTGTTTAAAATTACGTTTTTATACAAAATATTACGAGTTAAGTCAAAGGGAATGAGAAACTGGCAGTCGTAATGTTTTCGCGGTTTCTTCAAGTTTCTTTATGCCCTCTAAGCTGATGATGGCGTAGAACCTAGATTTAGTCCGTAACTCCTTCCTTCCACTTTCTTTAAAATTCACGGTTTAATAATAATTCTATCATTCTACGCTGCGAACGACTGAAAACGTCGTTAAGTTTGCGAAGTATTAAAAAGAGACTTAAAATACTTCTTAAAGAGATGTTAATTCGTAGACCAGATTATTTTGATCTGAGATTTAAATTATTTGTTACGTAACAATCTCCATTATCCATTGCTTTAGGGTTATCAGAAACACGTACGAAGCCCCTAAGTGTGAATTAGACACTCAAGGCTTCTTGTTCCTTAGGATTTGATTCTTTCGGTGTTTATGGGCTGATTTCGACGTGACCCACGCCTGTATTTGAGATTGACCCCACGAGCCTACTTTACCCTTGTCTACACGAGTAACATTCTCTTTATTCCCCAGAAATTAAGTTCAGGAACAAATAAACTTTATTTCGCTCTCAAGAGCACAAGAAATGAGAAGAATCTTCCCTCAAATGCTGAATAAATGTAGGAATTAATGGAAACCTTCTTTCCAAACAATAATATTTGCAGCATCTGTAACAGCACAAGATGGCAAGGTATAATAGATGCGATTATAAATTAACACACGCGAACGCAACTGTACTGACGAAATTTGTTCACTCTGAGCTAACAGATGGGCGGAGATCTCTTCACTGAAAACTGAATGATTAACGCTGAGATGAACACTAAATTCGCATGTAACTTTGTGTTCTTTTTTCGCTACTCGAATTGACGGGAAGTGAAAACTTCATACTGAATGAATAAAAGTCTAATTTTAAGGCCGTTTGATGTTCTGTCCTGCTCATTAACACCCGCTAGGACAGCTGGGTTGTTGCCAGGAACCAGGCTCTGTAGTCTAACCTACAGGCCTCGCTTTGATGTGTTGGCACATGTGAACCGTTTCATTTCGAGGCAATCATTTGGAACGATAGTAGCTGTCTGAAAGCGATGACATTTGACCTGTCGGGCTGTGGTCAATTTCCTTGTGATAATACCAAGTTAATTATTACATGTGTTCGTGACAAAGGAGAGGCTACGCTTAGCTCGCACGTCATGCTTGTTGTCTGTGTCAACTCCAGCTTCAGTGCTTAAGGGAAATTTTATCAGCGTTAGATTTATCTGTGAATCAATACCGCAATTATGATCAATAGCCTTAATGAAATTATATAGAAATTTCTGTGAACAGCGACAACGTTTTGTTTAAAATTACGTTTTTATACAAAATATTACGAGTTAAGTCAAAGGGAATGAGAAACTGGCAGTCGTAATGTTTTCGCGGTTTCTTCAAGTTTCTTTATGCCCTCTAAGCTGATGATGGCGTAGAACCTAGATTTAGTCCGTAACTCCTTCCTTCCACTTTCTTTAAAATTCACGGTTTAATAATAATTCTATCATTCTACGCTGCGAACGACTGAAAACGTCGTTAAGTTTGCGAAGTATTAAAAAGAGACTTAAAATACTTCTTAAAGAGATGTTAATTCGTAGACCAGATTATTTTGATCTGAGATTTAAATTATTTGTTACGTAACAATCTCCATTATCCATTGCTTTAGGGTTATCAGAAACACGTACGAAGCCCCTAAGTGTGAATTAGACACTCAAGGCTTCTTGTTCCTTAGGATTTGATTCTTTCGGTGTTTATGGGCTGATTTCGACGTGACCCACGCCTGTATTTGAGATTGACCCCACGAGCCTACTTTACCCTTGTCTACACGAGTAACATTCTCTTTATTCCCCAGAAATTAAGTTCAGGAACAAATAAACTTTATTTCGCTCTCAAGAGCACAAGAAATGAGAAGAATCTTCCCTCAAATGCTGAATAAATGTAGGAATTAATGGAAACCTTCTTTCCAAACAATAATATTTGCAGCATCTGTAACAGCACAAGATGGCAAGGTATAATAGATGCGATTATAAATTAACACACGCGAACGCAACTGTACTGACGAAATTTGTTCACTCTGAGCTAACAGATGGGCGGAGATCTCTTCACTGAAAACTGAATGATTAACGCTGAGATGAACACTAAATTCGCATGTAACTTTGTGTTCTTTTTTCGCTACTCGAATTGACGGGAAGTGAAAACTTCATACTGAATGAATAAAAGTCTAATTTTAAGGCCGTTTGATGTTATTAAACGTAGTAATAGGAACGTAAACAGGCTTTTCATGGCTTTTTGAATATTGTTATGGAACAGCGTTAGGTAAAACTGACTTTCAAAGCTTAGAATACCAACACGCGATGATATTATTCCTCGTAAGATTAATATATTTTCATGATTATTTTATATAAAGAACTGATGTTTTGTTTTTTATGTGACGGAAATATTTGGTGTTCGTGTAGAACACGAAATGGTAAAAGATTTGAACTAAATAATAATAAGCATTTTCAGGACGATTTCTAACAGGAGCTTCACAGGTTTGGGAACTCGACAAAACATCGTTCTGCCACATGGGTTTTAAAAGTAGGGCACCATCCTCTTTTCTGTGCCCCCAAAAAAAATAAATTACACAAGGAATCATTACTGGTACAAATAACATCGCGATGGGACAGATGTTTGTTGACATTCCATCTCCATCACCTGATTTAGGACTGCCTGCCCATGGATCGTCTTCCTTTCGAGCTCAAAGAGTGACCCTGGGGGCATTCAACCTCAGTGTGTTCTATTACACCAGAGCACACAGAGTAACCAACCACGTAGCACACACTGAAAGAAGGGCTTATTATACTCCTGAATGCCGGATTTCGCTACAGGCTCAGAGTATTTAATATAAATGTCAATTTTATCATTCAAATTACAATGGCCTTTGGCTGTATCTGATTTATTTTTACATTTCTGTCCTCTGATGGTCAGTCCGTTCGTTTCATATACGTACATATTTGGAAATGTAATTAATGATTTTTTTGGTTTTTCTTTCCTCGTGAATGCAGTGCCGATTTGTTACCGTAGATTCCAAATATTTTGATTTTCCAAATTTTTTTTTTAAAAAAAATGAAATTATTAGCTCCGATACCTTTATGTAAAGATTTTGTCCTGTAATCTGATGGCGAGAGGTGGACATACAATCAGTGTTCTTGGAGATTTGTTTCAGACCAGCGTCTTAACTATCCTCTGATGAAAATTATATGTTTCATTTGTATGATGTTTTCATCTCGGTTCAGTGAATGAACACCGGTGTCTGGTGTGTTCCGTTCAGGTATAATCTGTTTTCCGAGTACCAATAGCGATAAAGTATTTTCTCGAAGGACAAGGAAGACTTCTATAAATTTTCAATGGTCTTCAAGGGGAGGTCGTAGGCCACGTGTCCTTGATTGCATTTTCGTCATATTAAGGTACGTTTTTGTAATCGACTTCAAACTTAGTCATGAAATTTGTTACGCACATAGTTAGGAGCTTTCTGTATGTACGTTCATCTTTCATGTCGAATGACGATAAATATTGCACTAATCTAAGAGGCCTACATGCGTCAACACATATAATAAGCCACTGGTATTCAACTTGGGGTACGCGTACACCCGGGGGTACGTGAAATTTAAAAAAAATATATTATTTTATGATAAATACTGAATAATCAGTAATGTAATTTATTTAATTTATTTTAGATATAGATTATATACTACGTATAACTTGAATTATAAACCAACTTTGGGGAACAAAGTTAAAGAGAAAAAGGTTGAATACCACTGTAATAAGCAATTCACAAGTAAGTGTTTTCTATTCTGAACTCTAAATAGACCAGTCACTGCCCGTACATTCTCAGTCGACGAGAAGACGACGACTTCTCAGGTTCAGAAATGGTGACGAAGCTGGGAGTTTGACCACCCCTAAAGAAAAATTCCCGAAGGTCAGGAATACTTCATGAAAGACGGTAAGGAAATCTACGAAAAGGAACTTAAAATGGGCTTACCTGTGATAACGCTGAATTATTTCGGGGTTGTGTGTTTTAGTTTACAAACATTTTTAGAGGTCCTCTCTGCTTACATCGTTATGCCCTGATGATGGACGCAGCGAGGACCTCTGAAACGTCGGTAAACTTCTACCAGACTACACGGCGCTACAACCCAGAAGACATCCATCTTCAGACTTACCGCCGTGGAAACCTCAAATTAAACTGGAGAATTTTTGGATGTTTGCAGTATAAGTTGATTTTGAAGTCGTCTTGAAGTGTGGTCAGACATTTCTATGTAATGCCTAATATTCTTCAGGTCTTACTGTATCAAAACTCTGCCTAAGATACATATTTGTAAGACGTTTATGGCAGTTTCTTGAATAGATGGACTGTTGTGTAGAATGTTGGATTTCACTTGTTGCAACTAACATGTGTTAATATTGTCACGTGTTTTATAGGTCTGTAAAATTATTTCGTATAAAACTTCACCGTCATTTAAAATATTTCTTATATAGTGTAATCTCGGCAAACATAATTTCACAGCAGTAACGAGTTTGACTTGTGTTCTTAAAGTATCTGGCCAACATCCTGGCTTGATTGCCGGCTTATCTCCATCAGGATCTCCGTGGTTTTCTTCAGTACCGGCTTTTCTGCATCAGGATCTCCGTGGTTTTCTTCAGTTACTTTTGTGACGATACCAGAAAAGCTGCGAGCTTCTTTTCGCAATCTGGCCTCCAGCGTGCGGAAGTTTACTCTCACTGAGCTGTGAAGCCACGCACTGCAAACTTACCTAAATCTCTGATTTCTGCCCGTCAAGGAAACGGATTGATCAGAATCCAAAAGCCAATATTCAATTAAAGTAACCGAACTTTCTATTGATACGTACAGTAGCAAAATCCCATTAGGATAGACTTAAACCATTTTATTTCATCTAAAAATCTATCTGGACCCCTAGCCATTAATCGTGAAATAGGAGTAATTTCATTACGATTTGTTCCTCGTTGGTTTATATCTGTGATTTCTGTTTCGTCTGTGGTATATGAGTCTGTTTGCACGACTAAGAATCAGTAATTTGAGAAGTGATTGGCAGCCCTGTTTTATATTCGTGCGGAACCAGGCTTAAAACTGAAGCCGGTGCCTATATTTGTCTAAATACTTTCTTCTGTGTCAGTCTGTCCAGGTTAATTCTGGGATAGTCAGTTTTTTTCAACATGCGTCTCCATCATCTTCCTGTTAAGTTTATTGAACAAATTCCCAGCCTCAAGATTCATCGCCGTGTTCAAAAAAGCCGACCGCCAAGGGGTCACTTGTCCACATGATTCCAATCGCCAGTGTTACATCCCATTTTTTTTTACAATCCATTTTAATATTATCCTTACTCCTACGCACTGAATTCCGAAGTGATCTGTTACGTGTAATATCTTGAGACATGCATTTACGTTGAAGTGTTGTTACCCCACGCCCAATCCCCAAGTATGACGACAATATTTCGGCTGTCCGAATTTGTTTAGTCCGTGTTCCTAAAAGTCTCCTTCAGCAACGTTTACAGAGTAAACGGTGAGAGCTTTGACCAATTGGTATTTATCATAGGGACGCCTTGTGTTTTCTTTGAGATTGCATAAGTATTTTTTAAATGAGCTTCATGCTCCGAAGGGTTGGAACAATTCATTTATTATAAACTTGATTTAAAATTTATAAAATGGTAGAGAATAATCGATAAATAGGTTTTATTACGATACCATTTTGCATGTGGCGTCGACATCAAAGAACTGAATTTGGGGGGTAATAATATTTGTTACGTATTAATTTTAGACTTTGTCAGAACTGTTAATTAGGTTTACAAAATACAAATTAATAAATCGACAGAAATTTCGCTTCACCTGTTTTCGGTGTGATTGCTGTAAAATAGCTCCTGTTTGTTTTACGAATTCCAATCTAGGACATGACGCACAGGAAAATGCCCGTAGGGTCAATCGATTTATGCATTTGTGTTTAATTCATTTGCGCTGATTGCATCGCCCTCGAGTTTCGTAGACTGCTTAATCAAGGTTTGTCGAACTACGCTTCGTTGAGCAGTTTCTTAGGCATATTTTCAGAACTATTAACTCGTGTTTATATTAATCGTAATTATAATTGTTTCATTACTGTGAATTTATATTACTTACTTGAACTTTCTTTAACTTGGTCGATAAAAATTAACGGTGTATAATATGAAACTGGGGAGTCGTGGCCGATTGTAAATAAAATGTTATTTTAATGATATTTGTGCTCCGAAGGTTTAAAATATTTCATTGTAATCGTTATTCGAAATTGTTAATTGCGACTTGAGAAAATATCTTTTATGTTTCCTTAAGGTTTTGATACATTGTAAAAAATCTTCCACTTTGCAACAATTTTGGAGTTTTTGGCGTACCGTTTTCATCGTAAACAATCTTCCACTTTGCAACAAGTTTGGAGTTTTTGGCGTACCGTTTTCATTCCTACGCATTATTTTAAGGTACGTGTTCTTAGGAAATACGCACGTTTTCTACTTTCTCTGTTTTGTCTTTATATACGTAATGGGATTTATTAATATCCACGTGACCCAAAATCTTCCCACAGTATTTTATTGGAAAAAGCTCGTAGTCCAAATTATTTGCATTGAATTAAACAAATTGCAAAAGTGCGCCATGTGCATTGTCACCTTAATTTTTTTTATGTACGAACACATTTAACTCAGAACAGATTTTTTTTGGGAACTCGGTTTAAAGTTTGATTACACATTATTTATCATCTGTTTAATATATCTTTTTTAAAAAAGAATTTTGACATGCTTGAAGGATGGGAATAAACGCTATGAGACTTGTCATTATATAATTTTCTCCTGTTGGAACATCCATGCAGACGATATTATAGTTCCTACTTCATCGTGAGTGCTCTCATGAACGGTGCAAGTTTAAAATTCTCTACAGTCTCTTGAGTTTTTAATGTCTCGTGCCACAGAGTGGGGCTTTATATTACTCCTGCTGTTTACCGACGCTGGGACGGGTCATTACTGCAATATGGAGGCGGCCGCAACGAGTGACAGCCTCGTCTTGTGATTACGAATAACGACTGTAGTTTGAATGGCTCCTACAACTGCCTTCATCTCGTGTTTTACAATCCCCGCGTCTGTTTCTTCTAGAATTATGGTTCTGGCGCATTTCACTTATAAATTTGTTATTAAGCTAGATTAGGTTAAGTAACTATAATTTTTTTTATGTTTTGTGTTGCTGTGAAAACGTGGCCTCTCACATAGAAGGAACAAATTAGGCTGATAGTGTTTGAGAGCAGGTTAGCTATTCTTAAAAAAATATGTTTTCTTTAAAAATTTCTTTTCGTTTTACCCCCATGTTTATCAAAATTCGTCCAAACTGAGACTTAACCAAGGTTAATGTAAGAATTCGAATTCAGTGCAGTAAAAACATTGCACAAATTCTTTTGCTGTTATCCTAAAAAGTTGTCCACTTGTCATCTCTCTTCTCAACTTCGAACATTTCTTACATTCTCATTAACCTAACTTTTGCCAGAAGGACCCTCGCACACT